ACTGAGATAATGATAAAGCGGAGTTTTGGGCTTAGGTTGGTGTGACCAGAATTTGTATCTTCAACATTCACGCCATGTTGCCATCCTTGGAGATGTTAAGTTTGTTGGGGAGATGGGAGATGTCGTATATTTAATTTTGATCACAAGGCATTTGAAATACCCTCTCTTGTGTTAAGTTTGTTGGGGAAAATAAATGTTCAGGCAGCTAGCTCTTCTCCTCATAGTTGGGTTTGTTCTTGTCAACATTGTCTCAGTTGATACAATATAGGCAAGTTCTGAACTTTATTTTATAGCACTATATTTTTTTTCAAGGAGAGAACAAATGACCCCACTACACTGAAAGTAGTAAATTCTCCTTGATTTTTAAACAAAATCTAGGCCTTATGATAATAAATACCGCTTTATAATCTAGCACCTGATAGGTGCTCCATAAATATTTGCGGAATGAATAGAATAGATATGTAGGTGTTTGCAGGGTCATTTTAAAATTAGAATATAATTGCTCTAAATGACCAATAGTTCAATCACTAAAATATACTGATTTAAGCCATTAGGTCTTCAGTTATATTTTGTAATCTATCATTATATAAGGCTTCTCTTACCAAAATGCAGCATTCCTGCAGAACCAATGTAAACCGAAGCAAAATACAATAAACGTCTGCGTTGTACATTTTCAGAAGGCTTAAAATTATTTATTTCAAGTTTATCCATACAATAAACTCTGAGCAGAACAAGAACTATCATAAAAGAAAAAGAGGCCAAGAAGTACCTAAGCTATGATAATCAGTGACAGAGCCAGGCAAATGCTGCTGACTCATCATCTAATACCTTTCGTACTGCATTGGACTCTTACTACTCTAGGGCTTGGCAAAAAGAAATGCAAAGGGACAGATAAAATGACCCAGAATGGAAGTAAAAGGAATCAGCATTTGGTATTATTTAAGGCTTTTTCGGTTTTATTGTATATTTACCATATACGATAAATGTGAATGATTAAAGCTGGACACTAGTGTACAGAGAGGCAACGAGTCTGTTAAAAACATAGACAGCACCCTGTGAACATCAGACCAGACCTCTGCAAAGCCTACCTCCAGAAATTCGGATTTTAAGAACAAGAGCATCTCATATTCTAATTGAGGGGTACAAAACTGTTGAAGGTAGTATTTGGTTCAACTGGCATTATTCTGTGCTTGCAACTCCTCAGTAGTCTCAATGCTGACAATAATTGTTATTAGAGCTTTAGAAAATCCATAGCTCCTCGAGAAGTAGTGGGAAGGCAGATAGTGGCTTGGCTTGGATACTAATCAGCTGAAAACTAGTAGCATGACCATGGGGGAGTCTCTTTATCCACTTACGCACCAATTTCTCAGAAAGGGGATTAGACTGGACAACATTTGAGATCCTGTTTCTAGAAATTTATTCGAGTGATATTTCAAACATTCTATTCTAATAAAGTACCTGCGACAGAGGTAGCAACTCCATAAACTGAATTTATGATGTAACCGGTAGTCAATCACACCAAGTGGAGAGATGGAACAGCAGAATAAATTTAGTCCTTCTGTGAACTACCCAGCATAATATGCATGGTTGACTATCTCTTGGGCTTCTTATACTTTTTTTTCCAGCAATGATTTTGATGTGGTTAACTACTATGACATTTCCTAAAACATCTATTTCACACATTTTTTATTCTCTTTACATCAAAAACACTTCCTGACACCTCCTTCAGCGTTGTTGCTCTGTGCTTTACTGAGATTGTAACTGCTCAGAAATTCTGCCCTCATCCCCTTTCTCTCAAAGTCTCTCTTCTCCTTCCACTCTCCGATTTCAGGGGATGTACTCCATCTCTTCTCAAAAATAAGCATCTTGGTAGTTTTATTCTATTTCCTAATTCCATCAGCTCTCCGACCTTTCTCTTCATACTTCAAGGACCTTCCCTTCAGTCTAAAAGTTGTTTAAATACTTTTCATCCTACCAAAGGAAAAATAAAACTAATATTCTTCTCTTAACCCTACCACTATTTTTGCTTTTCATTTTTAACACAATTTCTTAAGAATAATCTTCTTTCTCACACTTTCTTACCACCCAAATTCTCTAAATCTCTTTACAATCTGGTGTCTGACTTCTTGAGTACAGTGAAATCTTTTTATGATCAAATGACTTAATCCTCCCTAAATTTCATAACTACCTTAAAATCTACTCTTCATCTTCCTTCTCAAATCCATTCCTCTTGTGATCCCCATTTCTGTTGACTTCAGAGTCCTTTCTCCCCCATGTCCAATCAAGTGTCAAGTCTAGGTACTTTTTCCTACATGATTTCCCTTGCATTTTTGTCTTCTCTATTCCTAAGTGGCACTTAAGGGAGCAATTTAAGTCCTTATCGTTGGACTCCTGTGATAATTTTCAAACTGGTCAACTATTTCCAAGATATCCTTTCTTCATTTAATATCACCC